TTTCTATTTTATTTAAATATGTAATTTTATTTAAAATAATTTTTAATGTAACAAAATTTGTTTAGAAAATCGTATCGATCCTACCAGTTCAACAGACTGGTGTTGACGGATTCGATAACAAATATTTTATTCAAACGCACTAGACTGGTTATAAACCAGTTCTCGATCAAAGTGGTCGGATGGTGTCCAACCCGATTTAATTTAAAAATAATAAATAAATCATAATTAATGTTATTTATTTATTTAATTTATAATACAATCAAAATATTGCCACGCACTAGTTTGAATTGAAGTGAAATGTCATAATAGGATACTAGTGTGTGGCCCGTGCGATGCACGGGAAAACAATATTTTGATTGTATTATAAATTGAATAAATAAATAACATTAATCATGATTTATCCATTATTTTTAAATTAAACCGGGTTGGACACAGTATGACCGGATGGACCGAGAACCGGTTTACAACCAGTCTAGTGCGTTTGAATAAAATATTTGCTATCGAATCTTCAACACCAGTCTGTGGATTGGTAGGATTGATACGATTTTCTAAACAAATTTTGTTACATTAAAAATAATTTTAAATAAAATTATATATTTAAAATAAAATAGAGATTTATAAATTGTTTATCAATTAATTTAAACATTTGAATTTATAAATTGTTTAGATATTTAAGTAACACTTTTTATTTAAATTAATTACAAAAAGTACTAAAATTTGAACAACCACAAATAATTTAATAAAATAACTTGATCGCTTCGATGACGGTACGGTTCTAAAAACCTTATATTTATCGTACATTAATAAAAAACATAAATCATTAATCATGTTGTCATAAAAGTATTGTTAATATGATTATTTAAAGTTTGGACTACATCACATTCACGTAATAAAGTATTTTCAATATTAAAATTTATATTTAGGTTCAATAATCGATTTGGTCTGGTCAAACTGATACATAACTTAGTTACCTGGGACCAACTAAGTTGTTTCAAATTTTTTTGACTATTTTAAATATCACCTAAAAGTAATTCAATCAACGTTGGCAGTACCCTAATTCAATCACCCGATTGATCCAAAGTAATTTCCTTATTTTCTTTAGATATAATATTTAATTTTATGAAATAAAATTTTTTTATCATTCATATGTCTACACCAAATAATAGTATATTAAGATTGTAAATTATATATCTAAAGATGAATTATTTATTTTTATTTTATGCATATTAATAAAAAATAAACATAGTAATTTAAAAAAAAAATCAAGATTAATAGATTGGGTATGAAATTTAAAGAATATTTTTAGCGTTCAATATATATATATATATATATATATATGTATATTACATATATATATATTATTATGATTGAATTTTTGGATTAGAATATATATATTTAAAATGATTTTATTATTAAAAGTCAAAAAGAAAAGATGTCATAAAGATTACAACTTTGAAAAGTTTGTAAATATTAATTTATGAACCATCCGATTTTAAATGTTTTTATAATTTTTGAAAGCATCTAAAACCCATTAATTTAGGAATCATCTAATTTTTTGATAATGAATTAAAATTAAAATATAAAATAAAGAAATTGCTGAAAATAGTATATAAGAATGTGATTTGACTTTTCTTACTAGATAAATGTTAATTCTTATTATATATATATATAGATTTCAACTTTCTTTAAGGCCCTAGGAAAGTCCTCGTGTTTCTTTTCCATCCTCCGGCGGTCGGGACTCGGGCAGCAAATCCATCTTCCTGTTCCCATTCTTCAGGGTCTCTGTACCAGAGTTCACGCCAATATAAATATATAAACGGCCTCAAGCAGCAGCAACTCCTATCGCCTCCGCCATGCCGCAAATCCTCACACATCCGCCCGGCGTCCCTCCTTCCTTCCCACACGTTACGCCGCCAGGATCAATTGTCCGCTTTAATTTTCTACTGATCAGGCAAGCTCAAGGTTTTAGTGTCTTTCTTCTTAATACTTCGGAGTTAACTGTTTGGATTCACATTCACAGGTGTAGGAAGGAAGCCTTTATAATAAGTGATTGAATAGGTTAAAAAAAATCCTCAATTTAACGCCTCCTCAGTCCTCAATTAGCTGGGGAGCTTATAGAAGAACTGAAACTGGGAGGGGTTTATTGCTTTCTGGATTTATTTTATGTCACTTTGTTGATGATGTTTATCTTGCCTGAACCTAAGGTTGAAAGGAATTCATTTTTTCTCCTGACAGGGTCGTGTAATTTTGGTGTTGTCGGGTAATGGCTACCCGGCCATACATAAACGGGTTACTTGATAGGTACCCAATTGTTAATAATCGAGTGATTCTGGTAGGGCGGAGCATGTTCAAGTTGGGTATGTATTTGCCTAATATGACTGGCCTGCAATATTAACAGTGACATAATTTTACCGTCATGTTGTCGAACACAACAAAAGTGGCTCAATCACTATCGAATCATCCTGACATCTAATAATTTTCTGATAATAGCTATCGAGCTATTTTGCTACTTTTGTATCTTAACATTGTGGATTTAGTTATGTTGATCACCTTACATCTATCCATTTCTTGTTATCCACAGAAATGATGTTATTATTCCCCAGAAGGTTTTTTTTGCTCGAGCTAAGCATTGTAAGATACTAAAAATACCTTTCTTTATGTTACTTTGAGTTGCGCTCATATTCCTCTTTTTTTTTTTTTTTTTTTTNGGAATCCCTATCTTCACAAACTAACACAACCTATTTCCTTTCCATGTGGACAGCTGGGATTGATGGAACATTTAACCAACAGCTGGTGCCTCCGATCTTGATGGCAGCGGAAAAGGAAGAAGCCAAGGCTGTGCTTACATTATTCCTGAAGAAACAAGGCTTGAGCAATATAATTGCGGCAAGAACTATCAACAAGTCGGATGCTTTTGTCGATCACCTTGTGTCACATCTTCACTCTGTTCATAGGACTCGGTACTTAGTAGGTTTGAGTTCTATTTCTCTGATCTATTAAGTGCGTGATCACAAAAAGCTTTTGCTCTTTAAGAAATTAATTTAGAGAGGGTTCACAAACTTAAGTGAAAAATGCTTCTCCACCTTCAGTTTGAAACCACGTATACATGTTTCGACTTGATAGAGAAAAGCACTATTCTTTTCAATGTTTGCATAGACTTCCTTATTGTAGCATTACGGAGAAGTAGTTGGGATCAGAGTTACCTGATTTTATTTTTGTATAAATGTTTAAGAGTTGAATCAGAAGCATAATTCGCTATCTAAAGTACACGTCCTCTTACCATAGTTTTATTCGTGCGTCAGATTCTTCAGAATCACATTATCTAGATTTATAACTATCTCTATATTATCCCGTATTTAATATGAATTTTGTCCACATATTTCCTAAGAAGCACTCAAAAACATATTTACCTTCCTTGATTCTCATACTAACACTAAACATATTCTCTAAATACATAGGCCGGGAGCTCACGACCCTCGAGATCCGAGAATCCCTCATCCCATACCTCGAATCGCTCCACGACGAGCACCAATCCACCCTAATAGACGTCGTGGAGAATTTCCCCGACCCACCAATCAAGGAAAAATACGAAGAAACTGTTCACAAACAACCCACTCCAGAAATCCCGGGCCCACCATCAACCCAAACACCAAACTCCAAAAGGCTCAAAGCTTTGGCCCGTGTCACCGACATTGCTAAACTCCCATCTCACGTCAACTACCTCCTAGAGCTCGGCATGGAACTCGAAGCCATTAAGGAAATTATACGTAAATTCCCCGCCTTTGCCTACTACAGCCTCGACGGCAAAATAAAGCCCGTGGTCGAGTTCCTTCTCGACCTCGGCATTCCCAAGCAAGACATACCCACTATCCTAACCAAAAGGCCTCAGCTTTGCGGGATTAGCCTCACCGAGAATCTCATCCCCACAATGGGCTTTCTTGAGGAGCTAGGCGTGGACAAGCGGCAGTGGGCCAAGGTGATATGCCGTTTTCCACCACTTTTAACTTACAGCCGTCAAAAACTGAGATCGACTGTAGATTTTCTCTACGAGATGGGCCTCTCGTCCGAGAACGTGAGCAAGGTTCTCACGCGGTGCCCGAGCATCATAAGCTACAGTGTGGAGGATAAGCTGAGGCCCACGGCCGAGTATTTCCAGTCTTTGGATGCTGACGTGGCTGTGCTACTCCGCAAGTCGCCCCAGACGTTTGGGCTGAGTATCGAGGGTCATTTGAGGCCAGTCACGAATTTTTTCCTGGAGAATGGTTACAGTTTGGGTGATGTGGCGACTATGGCGTCGAGGTATGGGGTGCTGTACTCGTTTAGCTTGACCGATAACTTAATGCCGAAATGGGAGTTTTTTCAGACCATGGATTACCCGGAGTCGGAGCTAGTTAAGTTCCCACAGTATTTCGGGTATAGTTTGGTAGATAGGATTAAGCCTAGGTATGAGATGTTGAGGCAGTCTGGGGTTAAGGTGTTGCTTAATCAGATGTTGTCGCTCAAGGTGATTGACTTCCAAAAGCTTGTGAAGAGAAAGATGCAGAAGGAAGTTAATGTGTAGCTTGTGAGTGTAAATATTTGCAGATGTGATTGTGTATTCTATAGATGAAATGAAACCTTAAACGTTGGGAGCTTTTAACGTCCAATGTCCAAATGATAAACTTTTTTCTAAGTGTTGGGTAGTCTGGCGAAAGAAGTTTCTTGAAGCGGAATATGTTGTTGCTGCAGAACAAGCTGATTATGAATGAATTGTAACATAACAATTAAAATAAAATATATACTGCGTTATATTTATGATTTAATATAATTTCATAATAATAAAGTAATATTTATCTCATATATTGAGCTTTATAAAATTTTATGATTCACAATTATTATTATTTTTTTAATTTATAAAAGAATACGTTTTGAATTTTCTTTTGAGTAAATTAATCGATTTAACAAATGACTTTATTTTTTGTTTCATGGAACTATAGAAATTTACTCCACTCCAAAATTTAAAAAGTTCCAGATACATCGGGCCTGAATAAAACTGCACGAGAGAAATTGGGAGAACCAGGTACAAAGTGGCCTAGACAAATATCAATAAACTAAGTAGCCAAAGGCAACTAGAAAGAACTTGAGAAGTGGCCTAGACAAACAACAACAAACTAAGTAGCAAAAGGCAACTAGAAAGAACTGAAAACCGGCAGTTACAACCAAAACATAAATCAACTAATACACAAGCCAAAACAGAAGAATAGAAGTACTAAACACTATACTCAATATTATCAACATAATTAAATAATACCAATTAATTATTTTTATACATTACATCAACTTTGATTCACTACTCATCCAATCACATAATTTTAACTAACTATCCATTCACGTCATCTCTCTCATATTTTTAAATCAAATCAACTCTAATTATTTTGTTTTAAATATTATTTTATATAAATTCAAAATTACACTAACAACTAGCCATACATTTTTTTTTTTCAAAATTAAGCAAACAAAATAAAAAAATCTAAACAAAACAAAAAAATCTTATATCCAAGCATCCCTAGCGACTGACTCAGGAGACCTAGCTAATACTTCTAAACCTCTAGACACCTACCTGTTGGTAAGAGAAGTGTACTCCTGACAATTTATGGTTCTAATTTCCAAACTCCGTTAAACATTCAAAGACTATGAGCTTTCCAAAGCCACCACAATATGTAAGTAGTGAGTTGTATGTAGGCTTCAAAAACTTCAGCTTTATCAACAGAGTATACCTGCCACCACCAACTCTTGAAGTTGCATCTCTCTGTCTGAATTCCATCCCAACTTAAAGGTGTAAGCTTCCACACTTTTCTTGTTCTACTACACTTGAAAAATAAGTGCTCCACCGTTTCTTCTCCTTCTCCACAGTTGCTGCATAGAACATTAATTTTCAGCCCCTTCTTCCTTACATTTATATTCACTGGAAGCACCCCAAAAAGCACTTCCAGAAGAAATGTTTCAGCTTTGGTACAGAAAGACCTCCGACCGGCTTAGATTCGGCCTGATCAGACCAGCAGATCATCCTTCAGACCTGCTAAAACTCCACACCGGAGGGATTTTCCGGTGAAGAGCCTTCAATGCTTAAGCTAACACCGTGAGAAAGATGATGTACTGTATGTAGAGAGTATAGAGAATGTAATGTAATGAAGGGCATACCTCACTCCCTTTTATAGGGGAATGTTACCTTGTTGCCAAAGACTGCCTGAGTGAGCTGCCCGGATTGCCCGAACAGCCCGTCCATACTACTCGATATGCTCGAATTACACAATTCTATTAGGTCATGTGGCCCTATCCACGTGTGGTCCTTAACCCTTTCTTATCCATTAGTCTTTCTTATTAGACCGTCTAATCGTGCGACTAATTAACTCGAATCTTGTTGAGGCAGAATGTTGTGTATACCGAGCTTAAGTATTGTCCTTCTAGTCGATCACACGACCAACCATACCTTCAGTTCGAGTTTCTCCGAGGGTCCTACCTCAACCTGTTGTCGCCCCTTTGAACCTCTCACGTCATCTTCGACTTGAAGACTCTTTATTTTGTACTGGCGCTCGACCTGGTCAGCCCGATTACAAAAAAATGAAAATACTAAAAGTGAGTCTCACTACAAGAATTATGAGTTTTAGCAACGGAATAATCTGTTGGTAATCAAGTTTCCCAACAGAATTCCAACGGATTACCAACAAATTTTTTTGTTGCTATATGCCTTGTTGCTAACCATTTACTAACGGAAAATACAATCTGTTAGTAAATTGTCAACAGCTTACCAACGGACTTGCAACGGAAAAGCTCCATGACATTGTCAACATATTCTCAACAGATAATGTAGTTGCAAAATAATTCCGTTGGCAAATTACTAACAGAAAGCCAACAATTTATTTACGGATTTTCTAACGGATTACCAACGGATATTTTTCTAACGGATCACCAACGGATATTTTTCCAACACATTACCAACGGATTATCAACGACTAGTTACCAACAGAATACCAACGAAATTTTAGTAAAGGATTACCAACGGATATTTTACCAACGGATCACTAACAAATATTTCCCAACAGATTACTAACATAGTTTTGCCAATGGATTACCCACAAATTTCTTCTCAACAGATTACCAATGGATGTTTTCTTAACAGATTACCAACCAATATTTTATCAACAGTGTACCAACAGATTACCAACAATTCTTTTACCATTATCAACATATATTTTACCAACAGATTACCAACAAATTTTTTTCCAACAAATTATCAACAAAAAATTATCCAAACAAAATTCCAACGAATCAATATATTTTCAACATATATTTTTCCAAAGTTATTACCTAACGAAATGAATACGAACAAATTTTCCCAACGAAACAACACAACATAAAATATCATTCATCCAACTCGGTTAATCCAGAAAAATAAAATCCACACATAATTCAGTTAATCTAACTAAAAACAAACTTCAAATAAAATATCATCCATCCAGTTCAAAATAACTGTCATCTAACCACGAATACTACAACACGGCTCTACGAGCATCCAGAAGGTGTGCTCTCTGATGTGTTTATGTGGGCCATCATCAACTCAAACCGTTTATCCATGTCATCAAACTTTTGTTGCACTTCACCCTTATACTTATCTAAGATTTGTTGCACTTCAGCCCGACCCTCAGCTCTTCCCTCCTCACGAATGCGCGCTATATCAACTTCTGAAATCCGAGATAACTTTCCTGCTAATATCTTTGAAACAAATATAAGATAAGCAAAGTTTACAAACGATATATTCACAGGAAACTTGAGAATTAAAGAAAAAAGAAGATACTTGTGAGGCGCCAAAACTCCCAACCCCATATAACCGTTGCTTTTTACTAACTCCACCAACAGCTGTACAATAATGCTCATTTAACTTCATATCTCGTTGTACTTGATCTAAATCAGAATCATTGGTTAAGGATGGATCACTGGCAATAGAAGACTCCACTTCCATCTACCATTAGAACATGTAGAAAAAAAAAAAGAGAAAAAAAGAATATTCATCAACTATACAATAACTTATATTTACAAAGCATTGATGAAATCAAGTTACTTACAGCAATTTTCTCAGAACGGACATCTCTCCATTTGTTATTTTTCCTATCCCAATGTAAAGCTTATAAACCTCCATATGAGTCGGAGTCCTTCCTAATTTTTCAGTCTGAAAATTATAACAATTTCAAATTTTTGATTTAAAATCAATAAACATATTTGTCCAAATATGAAAGAACATTTTTAAAGAAGATAAAATATAATAATAACTTTACCATCTCTTTTGCATATGCATACGCAGACTTAGAACCCCCAGTGTGCACATATATCCCCGATCCTGGACCATTCACCTCGCTTTTACGGTTAGCAGACATCTTTTGACCCTTTAATTGAAACTCAGATGTTTTCCACTCCTTCCAAAATGAATCCCAAACGGTCTTGGCCACAAAGTCAGGTTTCTCACGCATTAACCTCAATCTCCACAAAAACCCAGAATACTTTAACCCGGCATGTCGCGACCAAACATCATGAACTCTTTGCTCCATTTCGGATGGAAATGTGAATGATTTCTATAACTTAAAAAAATGTATTGATTCAAATAAAAACAAGAATTATATAACTTCTAAATACTATTTGTGCATAGAAAATAGACAAACAATTATTTCATAATCAATAAATTTGTACAGAACAATAAGTTAATTAAATTTTAACCTTAAAAGAAGCCCAATACCAATCCTTTACTTCAATACCCACATTAGACCATGTGTAACCCTGTGGACAAAGCTTTTCCTTGAAAAGATCCCTCATGCATTTTGCCACTTTATTCCCTGGATACAATCTGTCATAAATTTTGCTTAATTAAATTAATTTTTTTGGCTAGAACTACAATGAAACAATGTTATAAAAACTACAATCATATAATACTTAAAGTCTCTGTTTTCATTACCTTTCATCAGATTCAATTTCAACTGGTATACGGCTCATAAGACTAGAACAGACAAATGATGATGCAGATAGCATGCTCCCTGATTGAGATGGTGAAGTGATAGGAGATGGTAGCACATCATGCAATGGTATATACAAAGCAATTTACAACAATTTCTTCAAATTAAACGGAATTTATTGAATATGCACGTTTAATAAAACTACATGTCCAGTTTACCTGATGGTGCATCTACTGTCAATGGTGTCGCACCATGCAAAGGATCAGGTGGAGTAAATGATGGTGGACGCAATATTATGTTAGGCGTGTGTGGCCTATTGCCTAAAACATTAATCATGTTGAAATACATGAACAAAATTCATCAATTTAACCAATGTATAAATGTAGAAATTTAAAAAAAAAAATCTAAATATCTTTATTTACTAAAAAGCAAACTTTTGGCCCAATTTATAATATAGTATACCTGATGGAGGCGATGACAAACGATTTGGCATGCTCGACCTAGATGTATGTCCTATAAAACATTTACCATATCAATTAAACTTTATCTTGCAAAATAATTAAATAAATGAATTTGATCTACAAATTTAATTGACAAATATGGTATCGTTTACCTCCTCGTCGTACAAGGCCACTCCTCTGTCCATGAGGTGGTGGAGTCTGATCGAGCTCTTCATCAGAATCATCGTCTTGAGACATTGCCCGAAGTGCTTCTGCAAGAGTCTTATAACCTCCACCCCTTTTTGTGATTCTCATGCTATCGATAACTACAAATGAAATGAATGTTTTTTCACATATTTCTAATAATACTTTACACAAACAAGTGAAACAACTAAAACCAAAAAATTCCATGAACATGTATGATTATGTACTTAATTTTAAATTATAATTTCATCAGAATAACTAGTTCCATAGAGTTTTGTTTAAAATAAAGCTAAAAATATAATTGTGATGCAAAAGTTAAAAGAATTTCAAGAAACAACTTACTGTACACTAATCACTTCTAGAATCATATAAATCTTCATTTAGATTCGATACAAAGTCGTCTTCCATTTCAGATTCAACTATAAGTTCTTCTACTTCTTCGACATCCTCATCGTCTATCTCTATAAAAACACCGTCTGAATCATTGAGTGGTCCAGTTTCATCCACATCCAAATCAGTTCGTCCTATATGATGGATACTTCTCTCGTCTTCTTGATAGGGTGGCGTGACTTGCATTTCAACATTATTATCAACTGACAATAGAACTTCCACAAAAGCCCTTGCCTTAACATTGCACACAGCCCACCAGTCTCGTTTATCACGACTTGCACCTAGATATTCACAAAAGAACACTTGTTTTGCTTGCATCCCCAACATAAAAGGCTCATACCTATCAAATCGACGTTTATAATTGATATCCACCAGCTTGTAGTCTTTATGAATATTCATTCCCCGAGCAGTGGGGTCGAACCATTCACATTTGAATAAAACTGTTGTGTTGGTATGGAACCCGTTATATCGAACCTCAACCACATCGACCAATCGTCCATAAAAATCATTCTCAACGCTGAAATTTGATCCTTTAATACACACCCCACTATTCATAGTGCTTTTGGAAGTTCCACAACCAAGAGTGTGAAATTTAAAACCATTGACCATGTAACCAGAATATGACTTTATTTTTCTCAATGGGCCTTTAGCAAGGTCTTGAAATATATTCATTAGTAATTCCATTCAAATGATCATGTACCTACATATTTTTTTTTTTTTAAAAAAAAGCACTTTCATATTATACAGTGTCATATTGTATACTATATATATTTAGAGGTGAAGATAAGATAATACTCACATATTTCTCGAACCAATCAGGAAATTCGTTTTCAAGTTCTGTATCAATTTCTTCTCTCGAGATGCTTCTTCGTTGACTCCTCAATGAATCCACAAATATACTTCATGTGTAAAATTTTAGAGAGGATTTAGCCCTATGAAATTTATAATGTGTTTAATAGTGCTAACCAAATGAAAAAACTATAGTGGAACGATTACAAACCTAATATATGGTTCAACCTCAATGCAATTGAGTAAGATGTAACTACGGGCAGCATTGTATTCATCTTCTGTCAAGTATCTTGCTTTTGCCCTTCCGAGAAATCGCCCTTGAAACTTGAACACAGAAAGACTTCCTTCAAGGTCTTTCTTCTGAGAACAACCAGCATCATTACGTGGTGGTTTCCTATGTCGCGTGCTCACGTGTTCTTCAAAATAATACTCACAAAACGATGATGCCTCATCAACTAAATATGCATTGCATATCGAACCTTCAACTCGGGCTTTATTAGTCACGTTCCCTTTCAACTTCCGAAGGTACCTAACTTAAATTATTAGTCACGATGATGCTTCATCAACTAAGGAGATATTTCAATTACAAAAACTTATTAATTCATGTAAGTTAAATCACCTCTCAAATGGATACATCCAACGATATTGGACAGGACCAGCAATGATTGCTTCATAAGCCAAATGCACAGGAAGATGCTCCATTGAGTCGAAGAAGCTCGGCGGGAATATCCTTTCCAGTTTACATAATATAATAAGAATTTCAGCATGTAATCGCTCCATATCTTCCTTACGTATAACAGTGGAAGTGAGCTCTCTAAAGAAAAGGCTTAACTCGGTAAGTGCTTTCCACACATTCGAAGGAAGTAATTCTTTAAATGCAATAGGTATCAATCTTTGCATAAACACATGGCAATCATGGCTCTTCATACCAAAAAATCTGTGTTTCTTCATGTCTACACATCTAGACAAGTTAGAGGCATATCCATCAGGAAATTTAACCTCTTTCGCCCATTTGCACAATTCTTCTTTGCCTTTCGCATCCAACGTGTAGCAGGCTTTAGGATACTTACACGTTTCCTCATTTCTCGCCAACTCTGGACATCGACAATAGTCATTTAACTCTTGGCGAGATTTCAATGTATCTTTTGTTTTGCCCTGTACATCCATAATTGTATTAAAGATGTTATCAAACACATTGCATTACATCTAAATTATGTCGAATAAGATTTGTACTCCAATAAGGCAAGTCTCAAAAGATACTTCTTTTCCTCCAATCGCAATTTTTGCATTTTGACCTATTATTCTCATCAGAGCCAATATCTGTGACTTTCATTAAGCCTCGATCAAGTATCTCTTTTAGTAATTGTTCTCCCGTTCGAACGGAAGGTGCACCTTTTGTAGCCACTTTATTTTTTAAGAATGACGTTTTGTTCCTTCGGTACGAGTGGTCTAAAGGTAAGAACTTACGGTGGTTGTCAAACCAAGATTGTTTACCACTTTTAGAGAGAGTAAACGCATCAGAGTCCTCCATGCAATGTGGACAAGCTAAGCGTCCAGCAGTACTCCATCCAGACAACATTGAATATGCTGGAAAATCACTAATTGTCCACATTAAAGCAGCTCTCAGTTGAAAGTTTTGCTTCTTCGAGATGTCATAAGTTTGAACTCCTACATCCCATAGTTGATTCAACTCTAAATCTTAAACGCCCATTTATACTTAAACTATCTTGAATTAAAGATGCTATTTACAAAGACAAATCGTGTTTATCAAACCTAAAACCTAAAAGGTACAAAGGTAAAAATACATTCTAATAAGAGACAAATTAGTGTACTAATTTCGGGTTTTTGTTGACTTAAAAGACCAAAATTAAAATTTCGCCAAAAACTAGATAATAAATACTATAAATCATGAAGTTAAAAGAAAAAAATAAAATACATTTATAATAACTAATATCTGAATGAATATGGAAGATTAAGAGCTGAAATCTCACATTGCTTTGCTACAGACGGACATATATAAGGTGGTCTAAACAGGTCGGGTCTCGGGTGACGATATTGTAATAGTGCAAATCATTCTAGCAATCGATTACAGGTGAGAAAGAGAGATTGTTTTCGTGGGGCTAATTTGCAATAGCATTGGATTTTTTCTTATTTGTAGTCGACAAACGTACCAATACTAATGCACAGCCTACCCCTTCAGACAAACGTACTCATTAATTGCTCCATCATTAATATTTGAGATACTAATTACTTCATAATTACTATGTCAGCTGAATTGCCAATCCATTTGCATTGAATGCTACTCAGAGACAGACAGACATTAAATAATACTCCAGTACTATAGAATATAAGATCCACAAACATCTGCTCTTATTTTGTCTTGGTCCTGTTGTCCTCTTCCCATATTGCCCCGCACGTCCCCACTTGTTTCACTCTATGTCATCTTCAAATACATCATACATGGACGCATTTGAAAAATAAAATTGTAATTGAATAGTTCATATGTGGAACTCTATATTCATCCACAATCTATATCTATATTTATATAATCGGTCAATTTATATTATCATAATTGACACATGTGTTGAGCTGGAAAATATTTTCCTCTATATCTGACATATAATCAACTTTTATTTTTTCGCAAATTTTTTAGCTAGATATTAATTTCTTTAATTACGATTACATATCAAAATTATTAAAGTATAAAAAATAATAAAAACAGATATTAGTAAATAAATAATTTAAAATATTAATCAAATTTGATAAAACATATGGTCCACTTTGTAATATACGATTTACCATAAAGAAAGGTAAATCTCAATTGAATATATTGTTTGTATTAATAGTAATATTGATGAATTAAAATAATATGTTATTATAATTAGTATTTTGATATGCGGGTAAAATCAAGAAGTATAATTTTCACATGAAAAATGTCTATATACATTAAAAAAACTATTTAATTTGTAAGAAATTATGATTCTAATTATATATATTTTGTAAATAAAAATGAGTAAATAAAATTTGATAATCATTGAAATGTGTAATATATCTATATTTTTAAATTTAATATTGATTAACTCATTATATATGTTTAAAAACTGAATTTAAGAAACTAATATAAACAAAAAATATGAAAATAAATAATACTTTTTGTGAAAAATTTGTGATGTATAAGCGAATAAGTTTATTAAAAAATATAGATTAATTATCAATGGATAATTTTTCATGCATTTAGAATTAAAATAAAAGAAAATAAATTTTCTAAGTTAAACTCTAATCATGTCAGTTAGTTATCGACAATATGCAAACTATGGATTGTTGGTAAATTATATAATCAAGAAAGTAGATAACATTTTATAAGCATGTGAAAGTAATTTCTATACAGACATCATATTTAATATCTTATGCAGTTATAATATTTTATAAACTTATAAATACAGGATTCATATATTAAATATGAGCTATAGACCTCTGAAAAATAAATTAAAAATTTAAAAAGAAATTGAAAAGGAAGACAATAAAAAATATTTAAACAAAGTTTATATTATTACTTCTATGTATAGTGTTGAATAGACTCGACATATTTTGTAAAATAATTTAACAATATTCGATTAATTAATATTTTTAATACTATATTCCGCAAATCACATGGTACCAACGCGTTTAATTAATATATTAATTAAGATTTAGCACCAATTCTCTCTGAACAAGAACCATCTTACCCTATATATGCACTAGCTTACATATTATTGCTACAGTTCATGCCAAATGTGAAGTGCTCCAACTTGTACTATTTATTTTCCTTTTTTTTTTTTCGGCTACTCAAAGGATTTATCATTTCTAATTAATTGGTGCATATGCGTAACAAGAAAGCTGTATCATGTGCATGAATGATCAGAATTTAAGTTAGATGCATTAATATTAACAGCAAGTAATTGTTGAACCAAGAAGCAAAGTTGCTCTTCTAGAATTTGAGAAATAATAACTACTTAATTAATAACTATTCATAGGCTTTTAATCTTTACTGTATAAAGTAAAAAAAAAATATACTCCGCTTAATGCTCATCTAATGCAACTGTGCTACACATCTGTACATATATAATTGTTAGGCAAACAAATTACGACAATTGTTTTTGTTTTTCCGCATTTTTCCGTTACATTTTTCATTGATTAGTCAATTATATTTTTTATTTATTTTATTATACAATTGTTATTACTCGCTATCATATAATCTAATTAAATAATATTTTATTCTAAATCTCTTTTTCAAACTATTTATTTTATTTTATTTTTTCAACTCTTTAAGCTAGTTTTATTAAAATTGGTTATTTTTTTATGGC